AAGCAAGGCGAATTAATATAAGTGTTGTGATATAATAACATTATTACTCTCATTACTTATTATTATTACTATTTATAATTGCCTTCATTTAATCATACCATTACCATTGTTACTGATATACTACAATTATATACAACATTGTTCTAATCTAATATCAGTCTTAAGCTATGCAACTCTGTTATTGAATACATACATAAAAGGCAGTAATAAAGTGACTCTGACATAGAACACGACATGGTGTCAGATGTGGTTAGCATATAAGCAAAAAAGTGGAAGAACCCATCAATAGAAAAAATATATAGTCGGCCACGTGTATGTAAAAGGAGGGATATTTGTGTATCGTTTGAACTAAATAAAATATACAAATACGTCGCGCAAAAATTAGCCCAAGTTAAAATCAATAAAAAAAATAAAAATAATAATAATAAAAAATAAAAATGCCGGAGGATGATAAAGCAACTTCTTCGCATGTCACCATGCGTTCGACATTTGCTCAAAGTCAGGTTATGTCAGTCGCAACGACAATAACTCCAATGGATCTAAAAGCTTCAAATCAATCTATTGCGTGGAAAAATTGGAAAAGCCATTTCGCAATTTTTATGCGTGCGTCAGGTCTTGAAGACCGTTTAATGAAGAATTGGACACTATAAGATATGAAAACCTAATAAAGAAGTTCGACAGTTATTTCATACCAAAGGTAAATATTGCCATGGAAAGGCACACATTTTTTTCAAGAAAGCAAATGCCTGATGAGACAATGGACGAATTCCTAACACAAATAAAAAATCTTAGTCTTTCCTGTGACTTTGGTGACATACGTGAAGATTTGGTGCGTGCTATTTTTGTGTGTGGCTTAGCAACTGGTCACAGCCAAATTAAAGAAAGACTGCTGTCTGAAGGTGACATTAAACTCGAAAGAGCAATTGAAATTGCAAACAACATAGAAACTGCTAAAGAAAATTCAAAGAGACTAAAATGTGCCAGTGACAATGAAGACAAATATGTGGCAATGGTTAAAAAAGACTTTAACAAAATAAAAGGTCAAAAATTGCGAATATGTAAAAAATGTGGACAGACTTATAAATATAAATGTCCAGCAAAGGGGGCAATTTGTTACGCGTGTCAAAAGAAAGACCATTTTGCATCAATGTGTTTTAATAAAATCAAACATCAACAACAACAATCAAAAAATTAAAATGGAAGATTCCAAAGCCGAAACGGTTTAAAAAAGGCGAATCAAAGCAAATATGTCAACAAGGTGACCGAGTCAAGTGACGACGAAGAAGCAGAAAACGAACTATTCCTAGGAATGGTATCAGCGGTAACGAAAAATGAAATTACAGCACAGCAGCAACAGGAACAAGAATAAGCAAATTCAAAGAAAAGAAGTAGAAGCAAAGGCGAATGGGTTGTACGAGTTTCGATTAATAATCGTGATGTGCAATGTGTAATTGATACTGGAGCGCAGGCAAATGTTTTGTCGTACGAAACGGCACGTAGTTTAAAGCTAAGTAGTTATATAACTAAATCTAACGTAAATTTAGCTACTTTTAGTGGAGAAAAGTTACCACTTGTTGGTGTAGTTAACACTAATATAATTTTTGAGAATAAAAGGCTACTCTTTGTGTTTCATATTGTTAATATTAAATGCAAAAATGTAATTGGTCTAGCAACAGCAAGTGAATACGATTTCTTGTAAAGTTATTGATGAACATGCAGATCTATTCAAGGGTTTAGGCCTTTTAAAAAATAAGTGTAGCTTAAAGTTAAAGTCTATATGTGAGCCAGTAATCGATCCCCCAAGAAAAATACAATACCTTTCGAGTGGGTTAATTCAATTGTGTTGGTGAAAAAATCAAATGGCAAATTAAGGTTATGCCTTGACCCGCGAAATTTAAACAAAGCTATTCTAAGACCACACTCTCCATTTACTTGAATGTAGGGCAAAATTAACAGGTGCTAAGTTTTTCAGTTCGTTGGATGCCAGCTGTGGATTTTGGACGATCCCTTTGGCGAAAAATCGTCAAAGTTGTGCACATTCAATACGCCTTTTGGTCGGTGTAGGTTTTTAAGACTTCCTTTTGGCATAAGTGCAGCGCCGGAAATATATCACTCTGAAATGGTCAAACTGTTTGCAGACATTGATGGCCTAATTATTTATATTAATGATTTTTTGATTTATGCGTCAAGCATTGATGAACACGACAGAAATTTGACCAAAGTCTTAGAAAGAGCTAGAAAAGTAGGGGTTAAATTTAATAGAGAAAAATCTCAAATTTGTAAAAAAAAAAAAAAATTTATTGGTCACGTTTTCGATAAGAATGGGGTCATCCCTGATTTTAATAAAGTACAAGCTATAATGGAAATGCCAGCTCCGAAGAATGTGTCGGAGTTACAAAGATTCCTAGGGATGATAAATTATTTAGGAGCGTTTATAAACAATTTGTCGAAGAAAAATAAGCATTTGAGGGATTTATTAAAAAATGATGTAGTCTGGCATTGGAATGACACACAAGAACAAGAATTTAATAACTTGAAAAGTGAGTTGTCTAATGTCCCAGTTCTGACATATTTGCAGTAGGGGCTGCAATAATGCACGAACAGCAACCAATTGCGTATGCATCAGCATCACTAACTCAATGTCAGATTAATTACGCACAAATTGAAAAAGAGCTTTTAGCGATACTATTTGGGTGTACAAGATTCCATCAGTATATTTACGGACAAAAAGTTTCCATAGAAACCGATCATAAGCCGCTGGTATCATTATTTAAAAAGCCGCTGTACAAGATACCTGCGCGTCTTCAACGATTTATGTTAAGATTACAGTTGTACGATTTAGTAGAGTACAAACCAGGTAAATACCTTTTTATAGCTGATACTCTTTCTAGGGCCCCTTTAAAAGAAAATGCATTGAGCGATTTTGATGAAGATTTAACCCTTCACTGTAATTTGTTAATAAAACAAATCGATATATCGACTAGCGAAATTGATAAAATTAAAAGTTTTTCTAAAGCAGACCAAATTTTTCAAAGAATGCTTGGATACATTAAAAATGGATTGCCGCGTGAGAAAAAGCTTGTAGACAAACAAGTACAGCCGTATTTCAAGACAAAAGATGAGTTAAGTGTCTTTGATAATGTTCTTTTTAAGAATAATCAAATTGTAATTCCTAGTATTTTACGAAACGATATACTAAAAAACTTACATGAAGGTCACATGGGAGTACAGCGTACTCAAAGCCTTGCAAGACAATACATTTATTGGCCAAATTTAAATAATGACATTTATAACATGATTTCTAATTGCGAAATCTGCATGAAGTACCAGAATTCTAATCCTAAAGAAGAATTATTACCTCATGAAGTTATAAACATACCATGGTTTAAAGTAGGTTGTGATATCTTCGAATTTAACAAGAATAAATACTTGTTACTTGTTGATTTGATTCGCAGATTTTGATCTCAGATAATGGACCGCCCTATAATTCCAAAGAGTTTCAAGCATTTTATAATGAATGGGGCATTAAGCATCAAACTTCAAGTCCATATATTGCCAGGTCTAACGGGTTAGCAGAGCGAACCATACAGACCATTAAGAAAATTCTGATAAAGTCCCAAGAAGGTAAAACAGATCCTTATGTTGCTTTACTTAATTTTCGCAATACACCAAAAGGGAATATGCCAAGTCCTGCAGAATTACTTATGTGGAGGAAGCTTAAAACAAAAATACCTGCAATTCTTAAAAATCTTAAACCGAAAGTAGTTGATGAAAGCAAGTATAAAGAAAAACGTAAAGCACAAAACATATAAGCAACAACCAATTACAATCTACGAGCTAGAAATTTAAAACCTATTTATAGAGGAGAAAACATAATGTTTAAATATAAATCTGTATCCGTTTTGTACTGCGACCTTTTTGACCTGTTAAAACTGCGCCCACATATACAGACACCTGCTTGACACTTGTAATATCAGTTCTAAACTGCACGACAAACGAGACGGACGTCGTGGAGCTAAAATTTAATTAATGTATGTACGTATTTATGTATGTTTTTGATGTGTTAGCTTTTTCTTGTATGTTAATAAAAAAACTTGTGTAATTGTTGTAGCCCTTGAAGACGATCTCCGGAGGAGATTGAAATATATTGGGAACAAATGTATTTTCTTGTGTTTTAATTCCATCAACACCCTGACCTCAAAGCCGGCATTAAAAAGGATTACTTGAATAATGTTTAAAAGAAATCCAAGTTCGGTTTGGTTTCCTGGTGTCATTTTGAATAAGTGTGAAGAGCCTCGATCGTATATCGTTCAGGACACTGAAGGAGTATTATTTCGAAGAAACCGTCAGCATTTACTTAAGATACCGGAAACGAAATCAAGCTTGGAAGTACAAAATGTAGACGAGAAAAAGAAAAAAAAAGAACCTGAGGAAAGTAAAAATGACGATTATACTGTTGAAAAAGACAAATACATTACAAAAAAAGGAAGAACAGTTATTCCTCCTTTACGACTACAATATGAATGAATTTTAAAATAAAAGGGGCGATGTTGTGATATAATAACATTAGTACTCTCATTACTTATTATTATTACTATTTATAATTACCTTCATTTAATCATACCTGTTGAAAATAAAAGTCCACCAAGTTCTAAGAGCTCGTTTTATTTAATAAAGAATGTAAATATCGAACGGCGCCCACAATGTAGTAAAGATTAAAGTGAGCAATTAAGTGTTCTAGCGAGCTTTAAAAATCTAAAATGTTTACAAATTCAATTTGCATTTTTATTTATAACATACAAGTTCAGTTTAAGTTTTTGACCTTAGTTCCTTTGTAAGTTTAATAAATTTTTCTAACTTTAAGTTGACTTTAGTTAAATTACCATGTGAACGCAGGCGAGGATAGAAGCAAAAGAAATAATATGAAGAATAAAGGAAATAAGCGCGCATGGAGGTTTGAAAAGATGACAAGATGATTACCCAGGGTTGCATTTGAGTGGCTACTCTACGTAGTTTGTTTTATCGGCAACATTCTTCCCCCGGTAAGCGGCTGACTCGTCGGAGCTTGCCTCCTTTTTGGCGATATCAAGTACCGCTAATTTCACTGCTGGTCTGTCCAAAATACCGTGAATGGTTTTAACTTTCGCGCGCCGTACTTGACCATCCTTTGCAAGTGTTATGTCAACAACTATACCCTTCAGCCATGTGTTCCTTTCAGCGTTTTCGTCTACGATGAGGACAACGTCGTCTTTAGCTATTGGCTTCACTCTTGTGAACCACTTGCTTCGTCGCGTAAACGTTGGTAACATTTCGCGTACCCACCGCTTCCAAAATAGATTCGCAAAAACTTCGCTCTGCCTGAGACACATTTTTAAATTTATTTCTTCCGCTTTGCAAAATGGCTTGGCACCATTGGCACTTCCAAGAAGAAAATGATTTGGAGTAATGTGCTCCTCCTCACAGCTATTAAGAGATAAAACGTAAGTGGGCGCGAGTTAATGATGAGCTCGGTTTCAAGAAGCGCAGAACGGAGACTTTCATCGGAAAATCTTTGGGACGGTGATATCTTGTAGAGTACGGTTTTAGTGGTTCTTATTAGTCTTTCCCACGCTCCGCCCTTATGGGGAGCTGACGGCGGGTTGAATTTCCAGGCGATTCCCTTGTGCGCCAGTTCGCGTTCTACCACCGAAGAATTTATCTTAAGCAGTTCTACTTTCAAGAAAAGAAATTTTCTGCACCATGAAAATTTGTGCCGTTATCACAATAAATTTCAGCAGGTACTCCACGACGAGCTATAAAGTTTCGCAGGCACATAAGGCACGAGTCCGTGCTAAGAGTGTGGGCGATTTCTATGTGAACTGCTCTCACTGTGAGGCACGTCAGCATAACACCCCATCTCTTTTTTGTTTTTCGATTTTCGACAACGAACATGGGCCCGAAGTAGTCTATGCCTACATACGTAAAGGGACGAGCGAACGCTGCCAAATGCGCTGCTGGTAGGGGTGCCGTCTGCGGCGCTTGCGGCATTGCGTTTGCGTTTGCGTTTTTACATATTTGACAGTAATTTTAAAATAAAAAATGTTTGTCTCACCTCGTTTAAAGCTGTTTCGTGTTGGACGTGGTGAAAACGTTGATGGTAATGCGCTGCAACAAGTTCTGTTACATGATGATGCTGAGGTAGTACTATGAAGTCGTGCTGCTCCTGGGATACGAAATACTTTGCTCGATTTTTCACTCGTATAAGTCCAAAGCCGTCCATGTAAACCTGAAGATTACGTAGCGGACCGTGTTTACTGACCGGCTTACCCTCTTTCAATGCTGCCCAATCGTCAAAACCTTGCATTTGTGCATGTTTGTATATAAATTGTTTCGCTTGTGCAAAATGGTGCGTCGAGAGCGATGAAGAAAGAGCGCTTTTTTTAAGCTTCTCGATATAGAGTATCCAATTTGCAACTGCTGTATATAAGCGAACCCAGCTTGAAAAGTATTCGAAATTGATATTGAAATTAATGACGTTGTGGTATAAAAATCGCGGCCTAATTTCGTCGGTGTTGGTAGTTCCAAGGTGTACAATTTCTGGCCACTCGCTGTCTGCTTGCTTCAAAAAGGCAGGACCGTGTATCCACTGCTGACTGACTTCATGGCATGGTTTAGGTTTCGTAGCAATGTCCGCAACATTAAGATTAGTTGGCACCCATCGCCATTCATTTGGGATCGTTGTTTCCTGTATTTCCGCTATACGAAACATGACGTACTGTTGGTATCTCCGTGGATCGCCTTGAAGCCAATGAAGCACGGTTTTCGAATCGCTCCATATGAAACGCTTTTCGAAATGCATTTTATGTGAATTTACAACCATGTTGGCAAGACGTGCGCCGATTAAAGCTGCTTGTAGCTCCAATCGTGGAATAGATAGTGGGCGTAGCGGGGCAACTTTAGTCTTTGCCGCAACTAGACAAGTTGTGAATTTGCTGTTGTATTCAATTCGGAAGTACGACACTGCTGCCAAAGCATTCTCGCTAGCGTCAACGAAGGTGTGCAGCTGCACTTTACAATCTTCTCGACGTAAGTCTGGCGAATAACAGCGAGGAACGGAAATAGTTCGGATCAATGGAAGGTATGACGTCCACACTCTCCATTTGGATGCCAGTTCAGCAGTGAGTGGTTGATCCCAGTCAAGACCGCTGCGCCATATATCTTGAACGAGAATTTTGAGATAGGAAGTTAAGCAAGCGACCAATCCTAGAGGGTCAAAAACGGACATAAGGATCTGCAATACTTCCCTCTTAGTTGGTACAGTTCCTTCGCAGAAAACGTTTCCTTGGAGTCGCGCAAATTTTAAGACAAATTTAAAATTATCGATGTGTGGATCCCAGTACATACCGAGAACCTTCTGTACATGCACCGGGTCTGTGTTGCTAGCGAAGATCTTGTCGGTTATTTCACCTTCCTGTTGAAGCGCTGCTAATACCTCTGGCGAATTGCTGGTCCAGTTATGCATGAAGAAGCCGCCTTTTGCATGAATATCGCGCACACCTTTTGCCAAATCTATAGCCTCGTTGACAGTCGCTGTCGAGTCAATAAAGTCATCGACATAATGATGATTTTTAATCGCATTTGCTGCAATAGAGTTTTCAGCGGCATGCTCATATGCATTTAGATCGCGCACATAATGCGCTATGCACGGCGAGCAACATGCTCCAAAGCTTAATACGTTTAGTCGATGAACACTGAACAACAGTTCGCCGGTGTCACGCCAAATAAAACGCTGCGCATCTGCATACGCTTCTTGTAGCTGAATGCGGTGAAACATTTCAGCAATATCCCCGCAAACAGCAACAGCACCCATGCGAAAATTGAATAAAATGTTGAGCAGTGGAATCAGCAAATCCGGCCCTTTAATCAAAAAACTGTTGAGCGAAACTTCACCGGATTTGGCTGCTGCGTCCCACACCAGTCTAACCTTATTCGGCTTATTTGGATTGCGAACGATAAATATGGGAACATACCATATCTTCCCACCACGATCTTTGATAGCATCAGCTGGTAATTTCACAGCGTAGTTTTTATGCACTAAATTGTCGATTTGCTGCTGAATTGTGTGAGTAAGTTCCGGGTCTTTCGTAATTTTTCTTTGCAAACATTTAAACCGGCGAATTGCTGTAGGTAGGCTGTCAGGCAAATTGACACTATCATTGGACCACAATAACCTGGCAACATAGCGATTGTCGCGCATTTCGCCACTTCTCAGAATATCGATTGCTCTTTGCTCGTCAAGCGAAATTAAAGTTTTCTTTGGTACTGAAATCCCAATATTTTCATTAAAGATAAATGTCTTTATCAATTCATGTAAATCAGTATAGTCGTCGCTACCAGTGATACTGCAGCCGCACTTCTGAAAGTTTAAGTACTCAGACTTACTTGCAGCGCTACTACCGCCAAACACAGTCCAACCTAATCGTGTCTTAACTGCTACAGGCTCCTGCCACTTACCTTCTCGTACTTTCAATGCTACAATTAGTTAGGATTGTTTACTCCAATTATGAGCATTGGTACGACACCAACGTAGCTTTGCAGTGGAATATATTTTAAGTGCGGGTAGTCTTCTTTCATTTTTACAGCTGACATTGATTCTGGTGACAAACTTAAACCCTTCACTGTGTGAACGTTTCGCAACGAAAATTTCTCAGCACTTTGTTTGGCTGCTGAAATATACATGTCGAGCCTTTCTGATTGCGCTTCATATCTATTTATGTCGCCAGTACATTGAATACAAATCGGGTCAGGAATGCCTGTTAAGCCTAGCTCCTCCGCGAGGCTTTGCTCCATGAGGGTGAGTGTCGAACCGTCGTCCATAAAGGCATACGTTGTTATGCTCTTATTTTTCCCATACAATGTAACGGGGAGAATTCTAAAACGCGACTGAAAATTGTTATTAACTGAGCGGTGGTTGTTTAACATGGTTGCCACCTCGCTATTTGATCGGCTACTGGAGTTATGCAGCAATTCATGATGACGGATTGTACAGCCATCGACTCCGCACAACTTATTGCTCCAACAACGACGAGGGTGTGTGCCTAAGCACTGGCGACATAAGTTTTTACTTTTCACTAAGCTCCACCCCTCAGTTACCGAGAGCATTTTAAATTCTTCACATTGAAATGCTTTGTGTGGATTTTCGCATTTAGGACATTTTAATGTTCGCTTTGGCAACCTTGTCGCTTTGTATTGTCTGTTAATGCATGCGTGTATAGCTGCCCATCTTGTTTGTTAGGCTTTTTGTTCGTGCTAAAACCCGTTGGTGTTGTTACACGACAAGCAGCCTCTGCTAGCATCGAGATCCAATTAGAAAAGTCTTCTATATTTGGCTCTTTCAATGGCATCGAATGAACAGCCCAATTGAGTTTATTTTCATGCGAGAGTTTCTCAACAAATTCCTCTAGTAAAATAGTATTATTTAAGTAGCTTATTAGCTTACTTGCATATATTGTAGCTACAATATTTTTGATGGCAAATGCAAAATCAATAAGCTGATCTAATTTTGCTTTTGGAGCAGTTAGTTGCCTTGCTTTTTCTATTAGGTGTTTCAAAACATACTCTGGGCGCCCAAAATACATTTTTTATACCCGAGCGCACTTGTGCACAAGGGTATTATAACTTTGTTCACATAACGGTTGTTTGTAACAGGCAAAACGAATCGAGATAGATATAGACAAATGTATACATAAATGATCAGAATGAAAAGAGAAATCGATTAAGCGGTGACTGTCTGTCCGTCCGTC